TTATGTAACAAAATGATAGAAACATCTTACCATCAAATTCTACATTGAACTTCATGTCATCAACAAAAATTCCTTGGTTCTTGATGATTCTCTTTTGTTCATTTAGATCCTTTAAAAGTACCTTCAGGCTTTCCCTATCAAAATAACATTAGGCATGAAGACAACCACTGAAACTTGTTGTTTACTCAGAGCTTATGTTGGGGTAATGTTCTTATAATGCAAAAGGATTTGCAGTTTTTTTTCCTCTTTCTGTTTAATTCATAATGTGTGGGTATTTGTGTGTGTGTGTGTGTGTGTCTGTGTGTGTCTGTGTGTGTAATTGTGTGTATTACATTTGTCAGATCTTAGAGCCAGTACTGGAAATTGAGACAACAATACAAATATGAAAACTGTAACATATGTTCTATATAACTRTATAAGCTTTCAGTAAGGAAAGCTTTATAAGAAAGTGTCTCTACGGTGCAAATTAAAAACTTTGAAACCACGTCAAGCAAAGGAGAAAAAGTACTTTGGTAACATAAACTAACAGAAATTAATGATGAACCTGTTTTCTTTACAATTGGCAATGGCCAGTGGGTAAACAGACTTTGCACTCTGTATGTTGTAAACAGGGTTAAGACAGGGAACCAGACCTACCAACACCTAATTTCTACCTGATCATAAAAAAATGATAATAGAAATGATTATTATTTCATTCTCATTCATGGGAACAAAAATTATGCACAACCACACTTTTAATCCGAGATGAGGTATTGTTTTATAATTTATGGCAGCACACTTAAACCTGACAGTCAGTATTTACCACAAAAGGGTCTTCCATCTATCTTCATCAGAAGTTTGAGAGTTGGTGAGCACACATTATGAAGCCTTTGCTCGCAGACAATCAACTCCAAAACAGGAAACAAATCCACCTGATAACCTTGTAAAGGAGAAGGCACCTTTTTCACATCCATGTATTCTTTACAAACTCAAAAAATTCCCTTTTTTGGCCGCCTTCATTTGGTTAAGGTTCAACAATATTGGTGTCAGAGGATTTCTAAAACGGAAGCCAAAGAAAGAAAGCAAAAGAAAAATTGAAACAACAAAATTAACATGAAAAACACATCTGATATAACTGAGGTTTAAAAAAATTAGCTATTATCACAGTAATAGTAAATAATAATGAGACTTGCACTTCTTCCACCACTTTCAAGCATTAAATTTGTTACTGTGGATCTGCTTCCAAGTTGGGATAAATTAAATCTGAGTGCAGACATAACCTTTCCAAAAGAAGCCTCTTAAGATTGATAAATAATAACAGACCTTACTTACCCCTGTCCTTCCAAGTTTGGTGATATTGATTACAGCTTGCCAAGTATTACCAGATATCCTTGCCTTGGTCTTGAAATATAATAGCACCCAATCTGGAACTCGGAGGCTTTCCACGTATAAGGAAAATGTTTCATCACCAACAAGCTCTTCCACCGTCCGTTTAACTCCTTTCTTTAGGGCCACATCGAGGTGAAACTGTAAATGT